AGTATTTTTGTATTGGAAAAAGTTTGGTTCTTGTTGAAGAGTTCAGATTTTTAGTTGCAGTCAGATTTATTTTTTTAAGTGGAGAAATCTTGGAGCTTCCTTCGTTGCATTGAAATTTGTGTCAAAGTAGATATTATTAGAATTTTTTGACCCAAATTATGTTGAATTTTTTTTGAGAAAATATTTTTTCTTTTTTTGAGCATGTTTTTATTGAAAAAATATTGTCCCTCTATGTCATTCAATTTTTGATCTTGTTTCAATCCTTGTGATATTTCTAGAATTTGGCATCCACCCTTTTAAATTCTAAACTCTTTTCACAAGTTTTGCATGACTGAAATATAGAATAGTTGTGTAGGCACAATTATTATATTTGTTTTCTCCATATTAGTCAATTGAATAAAATACTCAGTTCCTCTACCAATTGATTCTTAGCCTTTTATATTTTTTTGTTTGCGATCATATACTTCATTTCGTGTCATATATATTACATCGATCCGTTTTATTTCCCAACACATTTGCAATATGAAAAGCAGCTGCTGCAACTCCACCTGCAATAAGAAATTTGGATGTATGAACATGCTTGTTGATGCCTTCAATATCTTTTACCTTTCACTCTCGACTTGGACCTACATTTGCCATCAATAGCGTTAGAGAACTTTCTATTTGCCAAATTTAAAAAATCACCTTTGCCATTAAAAATACCAATTTAAAACGTGTTGTCATTGTTACTCAAAAATGCACAAAACACAGAATGTAAACAAAGCAACGACCACAAGTAAAGTAGGGGCACAAATCACACAAAATAGACAATCAAACTTTTCTAAAGTCACAATATCATCGTTCTAGATTTTTCGAATCAATCAAAAACGTAAAGCACTATATATCAAGTTCACATATAAATTAACATATACAATTCACGAAGAATTTAACTCACGAATTAGCAAGTAATAATCTAGGTTTAGCAATAGACAATGGTTACCCACATGGTAACCCCAAACCTAAAGTTACCCTCACGTGATGACTTATAATGCGAAAAGTAAATTGATATCCCTCATGATAGCCTTAACTGCAATAATAATAGAGAAAGAATACAATACCGTACTTTAAAAAAAATTATTATCCATCTACAATAAAAATGAATCATTATACATAAAATAGGATTTTTTTTATTTATTTGTTATAGTTTTCAGTAACATATAAAGAAACTATAAATTACCGTGACACGGGCGACTCATTTGTACCAGAAGCAAAAAACAAAAACAACAAAACAACAAAAGCTCCAAACAAGTAGTACCTATTAATGCATATTTGTCTGATTATTCCAATAAGGGCCTCATTGTGAGCCTACAATTAGGACCCCAACGGTCTGCATTTTTAACCAAAACTATTCCATAGTATCTATTTTTCTCTCTCTGCTATATAATTCCAAGATTATGGTTGTGGACTGTTGATAATTGTAGTTGTTCAAACTGCAGATGATTGTGGACTGTTGATAATTGTATACACTGTGAGATGTGAATATGGCAGGAAGATCGCAATATTTTGGACTTGAAGATCATTGAACCCATCCGATACTGTCATACACGCTATCGACACTAGTATTAGAGCTGAGTTTTATAGTTTCCATATTCTATTCGCTAATAAATATGAGAAGAGGGGTATTGCAAACCATAACAAATAGTAGGATATTTATTTCATAATCATGTGACTATTTTCTACTTATTGCATGAATAAAAAAGATTATAGTTTCAACATATTCTTTTTGTGTATTTGTTTATGATGTCTCCCTTAGGTCTAAATCTTTTATTTCACAAAACAATACAGGAGAGAAGTATTTGAATTGGTGCCTCAAAGGGCTTCATTTATTTGAAATAAACAGTACAAGTTACAACATGGCTTTCAGAGCCTCACAATAAATTTAAAGGGAACAAAAAGAACAGCTGCATTCGAATTGCATCAATTATTCAAGATTATAATTCAGAACAAATTAATTATTTCACCCTTTAATGCTTCTTAGCCTTTTTCACTGAGCCATACCCTCCATCATTTTCTTGAGATTGTCTCTTCGATGAAACTATGGTCGTCTTATCAAGGAAATTCATCCACCATTTAGCTGAGTATTTCGGAAATCTTGTATAAAGGCCATTTTTGTAGTCTATATAGAAAATGCCGAATCTAGAACTGTATCCCGCAGCCCATTCAAAATTATCGAACATTGACCATATGTAGTAACCCTTCACATTTGCACCTTGACTGAACAAAAAAGAAATAATCAACGAATTAGACAATTAATATCAGAATTTCCAATATCGAATTTTGGATTAAATAAACACTGTACAAATGAGGACTTACTCCATTGCATTTTTAAGGCAGACGAGATGGTCATGGTGATACTTAATCCTTATCTCATCTTTGCAAGCGTCTGCGACTGTTAGGGTATTGTCGTTCTTTTCATCCACCCCTACACGAGATCATGGAGTTATTTTTTCCATAACTCAATACAAAATGGTTCTTTCTATAAGTAATCTAATAAACACAATTATATTTACCGTTCTCTGTGATGTAAATGATGGGATTATTATATGTGCTCTTTATATAAAGCATAAGCTTATAAATTCCAGATGGAACAATGTAGAGCCAATCCGACCCAGCCTGATGGAAAGGAAAAAGATTATAAATTAGTACATATTTCTATAAAACCACAGTAATTAATTTAATTATGCATATACCAGCAAGAGAATTCTTGTAATCAATATTCTGTAATTTTACTTTCTGAGTTTTATTAAAGTAAATGTATTCATGCCTTTTCATGTCCAATTATTTACATTGTATGTATGAGAAATAAATAGTTACCAATATAGAATTTGTGTTATAAACATACCGCTAATGTTTCTAGTCGAAAATTTTAAATATTATTACTGGGATGTGAACTCATATTCCTGTTTGTTTCGGATTAAAATCAGATTTTAATCTAAGTCAAAGTCAAACAATCAATATTAACCACATTTTTCATGAGTCTCACAGCTTTCAACCATACATTTCAAAAACTTATATCACAATCTACTAAAAATTTAATATGAATTCCCACCGAACACTCACTCAATATGATTACTGTGATCATGAACTGCAAGTTCCATTAGATTCCTAATCTTAAAGTAATTATAGAACTACTAGAGTAGATATAATTTATTGAAGTACATTCCAAGAGTTAATAAGGCCTACCTTTGTACCAATCGGCTTCCCATCACGTTCAGCTAGAAAAGATTCAGATAGTGAGCATCATATATATGTTACAAGAGTCTAATGTAAAAGAAAAAGATCCCCGACACTTACTTGAATATTTACCGAGGCGGTCTGTTGTGTAATTCGGTGGAGAGCCTGCCTTTAAAGGTTCGTGGCTGGCATAACTAGCCGTGTAATAGTTTATGCCTAAAAAGTCATACGATCCTTTGACCAAATTCATCTCTTCTCGTGTAAATTGGGGAAGACGGTTTCCCACTATTTTTCTCATACTTTGTGGATAATCACCTGTTACTATAGGTGCTACAAACCTGAAATAGATAAGAAGGGAGAGTTAAAGATCCGAATTATGAGACTCGTCTATGTCTATATAATTATAAGTATGGGTTCACTTAGCCAATTACCATCCTAGCATAAAATCGAGAGCCCTTGAAGCAGCGTCTTTGTCTGCTTGAGTGTCAGTAAGAGGCTCATACCAACATGAGACATTTGTGATCCCTATCTGGCCTCCTTGATGTGCCTGAACAAATGTGTCAATCCGAATATTCACCCAAAATAAAATATAAGGATTGATTTATGCACATCTCAGCAATGAATTACAAACCTGATATTTTTGTTTGTATATGCCAACAGCTGCTGCATGAGAAAGTATCAAATTATGTGCCACAATATATGGTTCTATGCCCGGATTTCCATTACTGCAAATAGTCGGAGCCATGTGACATCTGTGATGACAGTGATCCGTTTCCAGAGACTCTGGCATAGTCGCACCCCTACATGGGGGAAAAGAGCCGAGTACATAACCTTGTAATGTAAAGGACCATGGCTCGTTCATTGTGATCCAATATTTCACTCGATCACCAAATTCCCAGAAGCAAACCTCAGCAAAATTACTAAAATCATTTCTGTAGTACACAAAATTTTATCAGAATATGTATAGTTCATCAGAGAATGAGCTTGCTCATTCAAGTTTGAGTTACTCACACAATTTCGGGGCTTAAGAAGCCACCATACTCTTTTTCTAGGCATTCAGGAACATCCCAGTGGAAGATCGTTGCACATGGAATGATTCCTATACAAGAAGTAATTAAATTAACAAAATGAAACTTTTGAATTCCATTAGTGAATTAAGTAAATAAAATAAATCTCAAACAAGAGAATTTAATGGTATTAAACCTCCGTCTAAGAGTGCATCTATAAGATCATTGTAGTACTTAATTCCTTCCTTGCTCACGCCATAACATAACTTTCCGCCTAAAACACAAATTGAATTGAATAAGATTTCCTCGAGTTATGATTTGTTCACATTTTCGTTATAATCTCCGTAAAATTCCACATTTCTAATGTTAATGAATTTTCATCCGGATAATATATTTATATACCTGGCAAAATTCTAGTCCATGCAATTGAAAATCTGTAAGAATCCAAACCCACTTTCTTCAACAATGCCACATCCTCCTGCATTGATGCTAAAAATGATGAGCACAACTTATTGCACCCTATTTTCCCAACTTGCATTACTTTATGATTATCAATGAAATAGACAAGTACCTTGAAGTTATTATATTGGTCAATAGCAACACATCCATTGCTACCATCTGCAATTTTATCTGCCACTCCAAATCCAATAAAATTTTATGATTAACATATACTTTTAACCCAAACACACACACACACACACACAGAGGAAGAGTTGAGAGAAAGGAGAGACCAGGTTGCCTCTGTGTGAAACAATCCCAATTACTCATGCCTTTACCATCTTTTGCCCAACCACCTTCAACCTGAAATATATGGCAAAGTAAACAAACCAAGAAGAAGCAATAAAATATGCAATACTTGTTCATTAATTCGTGTGCATGGCCATCTCACATGCTCAGTTAGCACTTCTTCTACAAATAATACACACACCTGATAAGCCGACGTTGCAGAACCAAAGAGAAAATCCTTGGGAAAATCAGAGCGCTTGATAGTGGATTGGGTGTACGTGACCACCTGACCACCGCCCGAAAGTGGCGGGGCATCAGTTTTACTAGTCAACGTGAGGTTTTTTTTCTCCATTGCTACAAATGAAAAGGGCAATTTGATGTACTGCAAATTTATTGTGCTCTTACAGCTATGGCTGTGTGGCTATTTATAGAAAATTAATTGAATGAGACCATGCAAGAATTACCCACGAAGGGTCTCAAATCAATGAGTCCTTTACCTTCCAATCCTCTCAACTCAGGGAAAAATATGAACCTGCGGCGTCAAGGATGAAAACTCAATATTAATAATATATTGCTGTACAACTTGACATTATTACTATACAAATATCCAATGTGCCGTTCACAATGGCACCAAGAGTTCCTATTAAGTTGATTAAGCAAATGGTCAACCCCCTTAATTGGTGTCGAGCTCACTGATTCGAGTGCTTAAAGCTATGAAATTTCAACGTATTTTTCTCTTGTTTGATATAGTTATTAAAATCTAGATTGTAATATAAGTCAATGTCAACAATGAATTTTAACCAGATATTTCATGGAACCTACAATATTTCAATCATATGTTATGAACTTTCATAAAAATTGGCTAAAAATCTAATTTTAATTCTCGTCAAATAGAGACTTAAGACTATATTTGAGCCCCACGTTTTTCAAAAAATTCATTTTAGAATAGTGATTTGATTGAGAACGTGTAGTTAAAAAAATGAAAAATTTTGAATTTGCGTGTAATATTATTTTATTAAAAAATATGTTGTTGAAAATAAGAGAGAAAATTGAATTTCAAAAATAATGGGTATCAAAGCTAGACTCTGTTTGTTTCTCTTTATTTTAAATCTTTTTTTTTTTTTTTGCTACAAAATCATTTTCAATCACACATTCAAATAATCAAATATTCTGCTCGTAAACCCAATTTTTTTTTCCCAAAATTCACTATTCAAAATAATATTTTCCAAACAAATGACCATAAAATAAATTTTAAATAACTTGACAACGGTAATAGTGAGAATAAAATAAGTTCTTAAAATCCACCTCGAGCCATCATATTTAGCTCGCTGTTTTAAATTCACTGTTTAACGATGAACTTGCTTGTCGTAAGTACTTTGAAGTGGTACCAAGATGTCAAACCATGGAAAAACCAAAACAGAAGAAGTCAATATTTAACTGCTACCTTTTAATGGCATATTTTTGTACAACTTGACCAGATGTGCCGTACATACGGTGCCAAGAATCTCTATTTTCATTGTTAAAATTAAAGTCAGTAAATAATGATTTTATTGATCATTAACTAAATATTTATAAGGATCCTATCATTCATTTTTAGCGGAACAATAGTCGAACATGTTATACTTCATGAGTAGATAATTTTGATATATTTGAATGTTTAAAACTTATTTCAAATGAATAAAATGGAATATGAAGATTTTGTCCCATATAGAAAATGGAAGAAAATTATGACTTGTTTATTACTCCCTACTTTGAGACTCGGGTTTGAATCCCGACAAGTATCACTAGTCTTTGAAGGGGGAATGACCTAAATCCTATTAGGTTTGATCCAATGTCTACATACTCACGCATTGCCATCGTTCGATCGATTAGCTCTACACGGACACTTGTTGTATCATGAGATCGAGTCATAGTTAGACGGGTTAGGACGTCGAGCGTCTCCTGGGAGAACCAAAGGGATACGTCTCAGTAAATGGTATCGAGCAACTTTTTCTAGGAAAAGACATGTCATTTTAGACAAGGAGTTATGTCTTTTCGGACACAACTTTTGACTCGTTATAAATAAGACTTATGTTATGCATAATTCATATCATCATTTTTCGTACCTTTCACATTATGTCCTGCATTTATATACCATTCCGCATTAAAGAAAAGAGTACAAAACACTTTTTGGTTATCTATTTCTTGTGATTCGAAGTGTTACCATCGCAAGAAGGGATCGTTGTATCTTGGAAGATGATTCACATCATTCCATTAATTAGCACCTGTACGGGACAAATCTTTCAAGTGCATAATGAAACACCTTCAAAAGTTTGTCATGTTTTTATATTAAATTATCTGTGTGATGCGGCGGGTTCTAATTTGAATTAAGTTGGTGTCGAAATTAGCGAGAATGAAGTAGGATTTTTAAATGCACTTCGAGCAATTATGTTTAGCTCGCTATATTAAATTCACAATTTAATGATTCTTGAGTTTGGAAGTTGCGCTATGAAACTTGTGATGAGTATTTTTATGTAGTACGAAAAACCTTCCCCAAATGATAGAGAAATGTAGATCGCAAATAAGTTAAAAGACGTGAAACCAAATGGTTAACTAATTATACATGTATTTTTATGAATCGAAAATTGTCAACTGCCCCTATCGGAAATATGATTGTCTAGCGATTCCCAAGGAACTGGAGTTACATCTCTTTTCCATTTCCATTCAATTTCGAGACAATATTAAGAACCCTAAACCTGTTCTAAATTTCGAGAACCTTGTGAACACAAGCTTGCATTTTATTTCTAGATTAATAAAAAGAAATGGAATTTTCTGCCAAGTCCGCCTACTACAATGTGAGTAAATTGAAGATCAAATATGACGTGTTTGAGCCTCGTTCTTTAAAAATCATTTTTGTTTTTCGCATTCTCTTGATAGAACAGATTTACACGTAAATCAAGAATTTTTCTTACTTTTGAACCATACATTCTCTAAAAATCAATATTACATAACTCATTTTTTACATTGTATTGTATTTGCAACTAGGCAAAATGGAATTAGCATTGATGCTTGAAATGTTTTCACGGTTAGGAATAAAATTTAATTGACATATTTGGCTGTAGTTCTGAATATGATTGGACTGTCAATTGGTCGACATGAACTTTTTCACATTTTTACTCTTTAATCTTGATTAGGTCAGGGTATTCAATAAATTTAATGAGTTAAATATTTATTGAAAATGGAAAAAAAAAAAAAAAAAAAAGGAGAGGAAGAATGGAACTCATAAATGAATATCACAATATATTGACTTAAAGCTCAAAATAAGCTCCATATAAATGTTGGAAATATTGAAGAGGAGAAGAACGAGATGGAAACTGAAACAAATTAATGAATTAAAGAATGTGGCCTGAACACGTATATGATACGTTGTCCTAAAAATGATATTTGCCTCCTCTCGTATGATTTAGGATTTTTCATAAATAGTTTAGAGAATTGATAAGGGTTTAAGAGTTTTGCAGAAAACAATAAGTGAAAAACTCTTTTAAGGAACAAGAACATAAAATATAGATTGAATATGTGTATGAGAATTGGGAAATCTCTTTCAAAATATGAAACGAATTACAATAACTTGTATCAGTTGTGTTTTGAAATGAGAAGTATCTCCTATATATAGTTTTCAATCAATGCACCACGAAAATGCTCCAATTGATTCATGAAAAATTGAGTTTTTCATGAAAAGTCTAAAAAATAAACCAGAATATCAACCCCCAATGGCTAGTTTTTAACACCATGCATACGCATGGTAATAATCCATTCTTACGCAAGGTGGAAGCAATTTCGTTTCTGTACCTACAAAGTTTAGTCATGTGTACGCATGGGCAAAGAAATTTGCTATCCATTTGCCTTATCAATTCATCCATTTACTTGGCCTAAATGGATGCCCAATTTTGAACAATAACAATAAATTGATATAAGCTAATTTTCAATTCCATCGTTAATGTTGATTTACTAACTCTATTGTAAAAAGTTTAATTAACTGATCAGCTAAGTTCTCACTAAACTTAACATATGTGAGATAAATTAGTCCCTGCTTGATTAACGTTTCACATATTCATGTCTTATACTCATATGTCTAGTCTTTCTATTATATACTTCGCTATATGCTTGTGCAAAGGTGACTTGAATATCACAGAAGATAGGTAAGAAAAAAAAAATATCCTTTTCACCTAAATGAATTTTATAAAGAAGATCCCTTAGAGCCTCTTTCCTTGATTTGGTCAATACTAGAAAATCGGACTCCATTGTTGAGTGTATAATGCATGCTTGTTTCTTAAACGTTCAAGAAACTGCACCTCGCCCAAGAGTAAACACTCAACCTAAAGTATATTTGTTTTCTCTCACACTAGATATCCAACTAGTATTGATATATCCTATGGCTTGGAGTTGGGAACTTTGTTTATTGTAGTCTAAGGTTTTTGGTTTTCTTCAAGTAATCAAGAACCCTTTCTATGGCATTTTAATGTTCCAAACTTGGAATATTAGTAAGCTTACTTAGTTTACTCACGGCAAACGCAATATCCGACCGTGTACATTGCATCGCGCATAGGACTTCCAATTACACTTACATATTCAATTTGAACTATTACTCTTGCATCGTTCTTTACTAACTTGATACTTGGATTCAATGGGGTATTTGCCTCTTTAATGTTAAAATATTTGAAATTATTTATTACATTCTCAACAAATTTGATTGGCAAATTACATTATCCGAGATTTTTATTCTGTTTCAATTACATTATACATGTCATGGAACAGCAAAAGGACAAATAAAGCACATATGAATGAGAAAAAAAGTGTCAAATTCAAGCACTTCATATGACATTTAATCATCCTAAACACATCAAGTAATCATGACATATAAATTAAAACTTTCCAATTGTAGTGCCAAGATTGGTTTAGAACCATTGATTAGAGTAGATAATATAGTTTCAATATATATATATTTTTTGTGTATTTGTTTAGGATGTCTACCTTAGGTCCAAATCTTTTATTTCACAAAACAATACAGGAGAGAATTATTCCAATGGGTCCCTCAAAGGGCTTCATTTATTTGAAATAAAGAGTACAAATTGCAATATGGCTTTTATAGCCTCACACTAAATTAAAAGGGAATAAAAGGAACAGCTGCGTTCATGCATCAATTATTCAAGATGACATACTTCAGAACAAATTAATTATTTCACTCTTCAATGCTTCCTAGCCTTTTTCACAGAGCCAGACCCCTCATCATTTTCTTGTGCTTGTCTCTTCAATGAAATTGTAGTCTTCTTATCAAGAAAATTCATCCACCATATAGCTGAGTTTTTCGGATATCTTGTATAAAGGCCATTTTTGTAGTCTACATAGATAATGCCAAATCTAGAAGTGTATCCCGCAGCCAATTCAAAATTGTCGAACATTGACCATATGAAGTAACCTTTTACATTTGCACCTTGGCTGTCAAACAATTAATGATAACATCACATATGAATATGATTAGTTAATTAAACAAATTAGACAATTAATATTTCCAATTTTGGATTAAATATACACTATACAAATAACGATGACTTACTCCATTGCTTTTTTAAGGTAGATGAGATAGTCATGGTGATACTTAATCCTCGTCTCATCTTTGCAAGCATCTGCGACTGTTAGGGACGTGTCATTCGTTTCATCCACCCCTACATGAGATCATGGGGCTTATTTTTTCAATAAATCGACACAAGGATGCTAAAAACAAGGTTGTAAACACCATAGATTTACCATTCTCTGTGATGTAAATGATGGGATTATTATATGTGCTCTTTATATAAAGCATAAGCTTGTAAATTCCAGATGGAACAATGAAGAGCCAGTCCGACCCGGCCTGATGGAAAGGCAGAAGATTATAAATTAGTAGATATTTCTATTAAACATTGAATTCATTCGTTCGTTCGTTCATGTCATTTTGAATACAGAGAGATCGAATTATTTATAATTATTTAAATAAAATAAATAATTAACAATAAGGAATACGTATTATAATCGTCATATAATTTATTGAAAGACATGCCAAGAGTTAAAAGGCTTGCCTTTGGACCAATCGGCTTCCCATCACGTTCAGCTAGAAAAGATTCGGATAATGAGCATCATATATATGACACAAGAGTCTGTTGTCATAATAAATAAAGCTTAAATCTTTAAATGAAAAAGATCCGAATACTTACTTGAATATCTACACTGGGTATCTGTACTATAATTTGGTGGAGTACCAGGATTTGAAGGTTCGTTGCTGACATAATTAGTCGTATAATGATTTATGCCTAAAAAGTCGTAGGATCCTTTTACCAACTTCATCTCTTCTCGTGTAAATTGGGGAAGACGACTTCCCACCATTTTTCTCATACTTTGTGGATATTCACCAGTTACTATAGGTGCTAAAAACCTGAAATAGATGGAAATGGTGAGGAAATTAAAGACTCGCCTATGTCTATATAATTTTTAAGCGTCGGGGTGCACTTAGCCGCTTACCATCCTAGCATAAAATCGAGAGCCCTTGAAGCAGCGTCTCTGTCTGCTTGAGTGTCAGTAAGAGGCTCATACCAACATGAGACATTTGTGATCCCTATCTGGCCTCCTTGATGAGCCTGAACGAATGTATCAATCAGAATATTCACCTAAAATAAAATATAAGGATTGATTTATGCACATCTCAGCAATGAATTACAAACCTGAAATTTCTGCCTGTATATATCAACAGCTGCTGCATGAGAAAGTATCAAATTATGTGCCACAATATATGGTTCTGTGCCCGGATTTCCATCGCGGCAAATAGTAGGAGCCATATGACATCTGTGATGACGGTGATCCGTTTCCAGAGACTCTGGCGTAGTCGCACCCCTACCTGGGGGAAAAGAGCCGAACGCATATCCTTGTAGACAGAAAGCCCATGGCTCGTTCAGTGTTGTCCAGTATTTCACTCGATCACCGAATTCCCAGAAGCAAACCTCAGCAAAATTACTAAAATCTTTTCTGTAATACACAAGATTTAATCAGAATATGTACAATTTACCAGAGAATGGGCTTGCTTTTGCAAGTTTGAGTTACTTACACAATTTCAGGGCTTAAGAAGCCACCATATTCTTGATCCAAGCTTTGAGGAATATCCCAATGGAAGATAGTTGCATATGGAATGATTCCTAAACAAGAAGTAATTAAATTAACTGAATAAAACTTTTGAATTCCGATAGTGAAATATGTAACTAAAAACAAAGCTCAAACTGGAGAAATGTAATGGTATTTAACCTTCTTCTAGGAGTGCGTCTATAAGATCATTGTAGTACTTAATTCCTTCCCTGTTCACCCCGTAACATAATTTTCCACCTAAAACGCAGATTCAAATGAATAAGAGTTCCTCAAATTATGATTTGTTCAGGTTTTCATTATAGTATAAGTAAAATTTCTACCTTTCTAACGTTAATAAATTTTCATTCTTATAATATATTTATATACCTGGCAGGATTCTAGCCCATGCAATTGAAAATCGGTAAGAATCCATACCCACTTTCTTCATCAACGCCACATCCTCCTGCATCGATGTTTAAAATGATGAGCACAACTTATTGCACCCTATTTTTCCCAACTTGCATTACTTTATGATTATCAATGAAATGCACAAGTACCTTGAACTTATTATATTGGTCAATAGCTACACACCCATTGCTACCATCTGCAATTTTAGCTGCCACTCCAAATCCAATAAAACTTATAATCAGTAATTAACTTGTAGTTGTAACCCAAACACACACATACACACACAGAGAGAGGAAGACTTGAGAGAAAGGAGAGACCAGGTTGCATCTGTGTGAAATAATCCCAATTACTCATGCCTTTACCATCTTGGGCCCAACCACCTTCAACCTGAAATATATGGGAAAGTAAACAAACCAAGAAGAAGCAATAAAATATGTAAATATTTGTTTATTAATTCGTGTGCATGGCCATCTCACATGCTCAGTTAGCACTTCTTCTATAAACATTTTACACACCTGATATGCCGACGTTGCACCACCGAAGATAAAATCCTTGGGAAAGTCAGAGCGCTTGATATTGGATTGGTTATACCTGGCCTCCTGACCACCGCCCAAAAGTGGCGGAGCATCAGTTTTACTAGTCAACGTGAGGTTTTTGTTCTCCATTTCTACAAATGAAAAGGGCAATTGAAGTACTGTAAATTTATTGTGCTCTCAGAGCTGTGCCTGTGTGGCTATTTATAGAGGATTGTGTGTGCTTGACATCAATAAGCCTATGCAAGAATTACCCACCAAAAGTCTTGAATCTATGAGCCCGTGCATGAATTACCTTCCATTCCTCTTAACTCAGGGAAAAATATAAACCTGAGGCGTCAACAACTTGATGTTATGGCTAAACAAATATCCAATGTGCCGCTCACAATGGCACCAAGAGTCCCTATTAAGTTGCTTAAGCAAATGGTCAACCCCCTTAATTGGTATCGAGCTCACTGATTCAAGAGTATAAAACTCTGAACTTTTGACCCCTTTTTATATCTAATTATTTGATCAAGACGAGTTTCATTCAACGTTAACTAAATATCTTAATAACTTGACATTGGAATAAAATAAAGTTTTAAAATCCTCTTCGAGCTATCTTATTTTGCTCGCTATATTAAACTCAATGTTTAATGATATTTCAATATAATAATTTGTAGTAGTACTAAGATGTCAAACTATGGAAAAACCAAACCACGAGTACTCAACAAGAACCCTGCATGGTGTATAGTGATTTTTTATCAGGGATTTTACGGATACACATTTGACTTATTCTCATTATCAGTCGAAAAAAAAGAACAATCTTACTACACGTACTCCATGTTGGTTTACCCTGTCCCACCCCCTCCCTCACATGGGGTTCGGGACGGGTCCCAAGCATTTATTGGATGTGGGACCTGACTCCCATGTGAGGGTGGAGGTGAGATCGGATAAATCAAAGTGTACTCCAAGCGATACAAATAGCATAATTCAAAAAAGAATAAAAAATTGTCGATACATGACTGCTGTTTCAGACCTGTAAATTGTCCCTAACTATTTACCATGTACAAGGGGGAAAATCCACTCAACAATGAAAATTAAATATTTTATTAGTACAACTCGACAAGACATTATTGCTTGATATCCAAAGTGCCGCACATTACAGCACCAAGTCTATTTTTATTAAGCAAGTGGTCAACCCCTTGACTGATGTCGAGCTCAATAGTTCAAGTGCACAATGTAACACTTTCAACAATTTGTCACGTGTTTATATTCAATTATTCGTGTTAGGCGGAATATGAATTAAGTTGGCATCAACGTTAGCAATAACGAAGTAGTATTTTTAAATGAAGCCATTATTTTTATTCACTATTTTTATATATCTATCACACTTTAAATGTATTCCTATTAAAATTTTAAAAAAATACTATATTAGTCCCTATTATATTTCTATATTATCCTCATTAAATTAATTCATTTAAGCCCTACATATCACACCACTTTTAAATATCGACCCCCATTCTAATCACCAGTTTAGTAGATATTAAAATCAAATTTTTAGTCGATTTTGATAACAATTGATGAAATGTGTGGTTGAAAACTTGTGAACCCCAAGAAATGTGTAATTAAAATTAATTGTTAACTTTGACTTAAATTAAAATTTGAATTTCTATCAAACATGGGCTAAATCTAGTCCTATTACAATTTTAAAATTCTAAAAAAGTACTATATTCATCCCCTATTACATATTTCAACATTAATAGTGCTAAATCCATTAATTTAAACACTATATATCCACAAAGTTTAACCAAAAGTAAAATATTTATATAAAAAAAAAAACATATATATAACTTTATCCAACATTTGAAAAAAACCAAGGCTAATGTTGAATATTTTAATGGGACAAAATGTTAATTTTTTGACATAAGTAAAACTAAAATTGTGAATGGAACTACATAAGATTGTAAAGAGGATTAGCAATTTAAAGCAAAAACTTTTTATCAGTTAAGAGTACATATAGTTTATCATGAGAATAAGATTAATAATTTTTGAAAAGCTGCTTAATTAATTAAGATTTAATCAACAATAAATCTGAAATTATCTAAAAAAATCACGTTGAACTCAAAAATAAATTTAGACTAATAGTTGATAATTTACAATTAAATATGAAATAACGCTTGTGTTAAGAGATTATCTAGTCAAATAAGAATTTGATGGCGGTTCGACATGATCTTTTTCACCATATCTGAAAACCGTTATTTGGATAAAAATGGAGTTTTGAGTAGTGATTTTTTTGGAGAATTTGTGGTTAAAAAGTAGAGAAACATTTTGGGTTTAAGTGCAGAATGTTTTATTATGTGAACGTGTGATTGAAAATGAGAACGAAGAAAAAAGAGTTTTAAATAATAATTGTCAAACAGAGGCTTAGTTTCAATATAATTGTATGATTCCCAAATAAAGCTCGCCGTGTACCTATGGAAAATGAGAAAACACTTCAATTCCAAGGATTGCAGATAAAGCTATAAAGTAAGAGATTTGGTTTTATAGAAAGTTTTGGTTGAATACAAAGAAATAAGTTCTGGATCGTTAAGACCCAAAATGGCAAGGGTTTTACAAAGAAATTGAGGCAGTTGGGCCGAGAACATGTAAGCTCATAGACAAAAGTGACGAATATCTTAAACACTCTTGAAACGGTGTGTATTTGAGAAAATATTATCAATAAAAACAAATTTGATAGAGTCAAACTCTTAAAGTAATCATCAAATAAAACTTATTCACTATAATATAGTGAAGTCTTTAGTCAAAATTATCAATTTGAGCAAAATATAACAAACAAGCGTAAAAAAGATTTAAATCTTATTATTATAAAGAAAGGTTATAATGTCAAATACAGTAGCTTCTGAGGTTGCTTTAACTGTAAAGAAAGAAAAGGTAGGAAGAAAGCGTTTTCGTGGAATCAAATTTGACAAAATGGAATGCGACTATCTAATAGCTCATTGTCTAGCAGCCGCCAAGTCCAACACCCATCCACCCCACATGATTCATCCCAGATGCATATATATGGAAAATGCAAAAATACGACAAAGTTGCTGTTTCACGCGGGTAGTCGCTAATAATTAAAAAAGAATTCAGACGATTGTGTAAGGGACAAACCTCTTGAGACAAAGTCCCAAAAAGTGATGCTTTATTGATGAGGGTTACAATTGGAAATAAATAGAATACCTCCAAGGGGCGCAAGCACAAGGGGTCATTTTCTCTATATCTTTTCTTCCTTTTTATATTCTCATGATGATTTCTTCGTGACAAACCGCTTGGAAACTGTTTGATTGCTTTATAACTACCCACTTTCTTCATGGTGGCTAACTTATCGTGGAACTGTCATCTCTAACTGCTGACATTATTCTTTGTCGTTCAAATGGGCTCCTTAAATAGTGGAATGTGATAATTCGCTCGATAACTGCTTCAATAACTGCTATTCTGGATAACCATAATATCTCATTCGTTAAGATTCTAAGCGACTTGAAGGTTTTGGTGAGAACGAGGTCATCATTCCGGGCCACAGTAAGGCACTCCGTTCGCTCAGATTCTGGATGTCTTGCACGCTTGGACGATAATGTTACTGTGTTAGTAGGCTTCCTCCACATTCACCAATAATCTTATTTGGGCCTTTATCCTGGACTCTCCAATTGGGCCTCACTCTTTGGACTATTTAATTTGGGCTACACTTTTAGTGTGTCAACAATTATCCACCAATATGGCAGATTTAATACCAAGTATTAATCTATGCCATATTCACCTTGTATTTTCCAGGCAACATTTGAAATTCTCGAGAAGTTCCATCATTATTTCCTTCTATAGCCTAAAAAGGTGCAACGTTACAAACCCTTATAAACCCAAAAGGCGCGCCATTCATCGCACCACTAAATCACGTCTCTATATTTCACGCTTCTTCCTCACCATTTTACTATTCATCTTCTTGCTTCTCTACTACGTTTCTTAAGTAAACCTTAACAAGACTGTACTTTGCACTCAATAGCGACTTCACAAACTCAATCTGATGATGCTTTCAGTTTCGAAGATTTCCGGAACATCCTTACTAGGCCGTATGTAAATCTAAACTTCCTTGCACAAGTCAATGCTGACCTCAATGAATTCTATTTGGGTCCATCATTCAATAATGTCGAAACCGTTGAACAAGTGGCAGTGGGCCAGCTGTTCCCTTGCACTGAAGACCCCTCCATTTCTAAACTCCCTTTTGGTCGAGCATCTGGATGACGAATGTTGGGCGATCTTCCCATTCATTGCCAATATTCACTTTAACCAGAAGGTCTTGTGCTTGGGTGTATCCAGGCTTGGTGATCCCCATTACTTCATCATCCATGTCCCATATAGGCACTTATTCTTTTAAACAATCCACTTTGTTGACTTTTTGACCAATACTTTGTTCCAACTCGAACACTGCCAATTTGTCTCCCAATGTTTTCAAGGCTACTTCTTCTTTCGTCTTGTCTTTGCATTCTTTATTGAAAGCCATTAAGTTGGCTTTGAAGGCTTGAACATCGGCCATTTACCTTTGTTGCTTACAACTCATTTAAAACTCTTTGATTACTTTTTTGCCAATTACTGGCTCCTCCAGTGCCACTATGTTTGGCCTAATTTGACTGAACATATCAATGAGCGCATCTACTGAAAACGGCTCTTCGCTCTATGCAACAATTTGAGTTTCTTCTCCATCTTAGACTACTCTTACAGGTCTATAATTTCCCTCGTACATTAACCTTTCCACGGAGTTTGCTTCTGCGACAAAAAGTCTATGATCTACCCGCATCACTTCTGCTTTACCCTTGTCATTCTAGAAAACCAAGTATTAATGGAACGATGAAGGTATGTAGCGACTTCCGTGTATCTAATCCCTTCCTAATAACACATTGTAACTGGTAGGATCATCTATCACGAAGTAAGCTATGGTCCTAGTAGTTGTCCCAACAATTATGTCCAATGGTATAACCCCTTTAGCTGACGTTGCTCCTCCATTGAAACTTGTAAGGATGACTTCTGTTGGAATCATATCACTTTCTGTCTTTGCAAATTTCCTCAGCATCCTAGATGTGATGGTGTTTATAATTGTTCCATTATCAATGAGTACTTTC